AATTGTGGACTGTTTTCAGAGATTCTTTGTATTGTGCTGTTTGCCTTTAAAACGATTCATTTTTGGTCATTTTTCCCTATTATAGCTTGATTTTTTTAGACTGCAACCATTTGAGTGTCATAATTCTAGGTTTATATTCTTATTTAGCTCACAATTTTTTTCAAATATTGCTAAAGATTTCTAAGGGCCATATAGCTTGTATCTTTTACCTGTCACATTAAACTCTGTTTTAAAAAAAACATGCCTGTAAATTTCAATACTTTTAAATCGGAGGTGTCAAACTGGCGGCCCACAGGCCGGCTGCATCATGCCCACCCCGGCTCCACAAAGGCACAAAAAGTTATATGTCACATGACACGATCAACTTGACACCCGTGCTTTAAATCTTTCTTTACTCCATGCTTCATTCACAGAAGAGTACAAATATTAGCAAGCAGGAATAGTTTAGTTTGGTTGAGCTAATCTATCAGAAGGAAATTGAACAAATGGAACTAAATCACTAGCACAGAAATAATTATTTAATCCACCAAAAGCATTAACCATAATTTTAAAATAATGAGGTTCCTTCTACAATGGTAAGAAATATTTTGGGTGCTCTGTATCAGTCATTTTGCATTAACATGAAACAATATAAATGTGTGCATTATGTTGGTGATAGTTGCTGGACCATCGAGGCCGAGTCATCTATATGGATAGCAACTTAACATAAGAAAATGCAAGAAACTGGACTTTTGGTAAAGACATGGCAAATTAAACATCTCTGAAAGAGTAGAGAGTACAGCAACTATGGTGGCCGGACAGTAAATTCCAGTAGTCTTTCCAAAAAAAGTTTTGATTGTGGGCACCCAGTTGCATTCTGGACAGCTGCTCCTTGTGAGTAGATTTTAGGAACTGAGATTTTTGTGATAAGCTTGAGTTGAGCAGCTGTGAGTTAGCTAAGTCCACAGCTATAATGCAGTTCATATGGACAAAAAGTTTGCACAGGCCTAATTTTTAAATGCTTTTGAATTTAATTTGCAGCTAAAGTGATTTGTGAGTGATAGGAAGAGAATTCCATTTGTTGCGTCAATTTTTTGGGATTAAAATGAAAATCAAAGATTTTAAAACTTTTGGCAAAAAAATTAACAAAGAGTGGTTATAAGAAAGTTTAAAACAAAGGTTTTAAATCTTTAAAAGATTTTTCAATGAAAGTGCTTTTGAAAAAAAATGAATTAAAATAGACCAAGAACTAGATCTTTGTGGGAATTTTCTTTTCCACCAAAAAGTGTAGATAATTGGTGAATTTTATTTAAAAAAAATTAAAAAATGAGCCAGACTATGATGTTGACTTTAATTATGGAATGCCAACTTAAAGAATTAAGGGTCTGGGAAGACAAACAATGGGGAGGGGGTGGACTTGATTTCTACTCTTTGCAATTGAAACACTCATTTTGGATTATAGTATCATAATGGCAACCACTAGAAAATCAGAAAAAGTAGCAGAGGGGAGTAGAGACTTACTAGACTAGAGCAACTTATACAGGAGAATTACATCACATTTATCAGAAAATATTTTGAGGAATTAAGCAGTAAATTAGCTGAATCACTTGATACTAAAATGATAAAAATGTATTTGTGCTCTTTGTTACCAATGAGATTACATTCTGTATTTATGTGAGAGAAGAATGAGAGTATTTGGGGAAAAAATAGTTATTAACAAATTACAGGTATTTATTCAATTTATAAGGCACTTCAATAGTCCAAGTAACTAGGCAAGCAAGCATAATAAAACAAATAGAAGACAGTAATAAACAAATCCTGTTTCACTGTATATTCTATGTGCTGTCATAGAAAGTATAAACATGTCATACATAACTTTAAAAATGCAATCTTTCCTCCTTAAAAAAGTAAGGATTTTTTTCTTTCTGAGATGAAACATTAACCTGGGACACCTAAGTTGTCCCGTCTTAGGACTGGCCATCAAAGTGTATCACTTTAAAGAACACTAATTCACAGCCACATTCTTATGGATATTTTAAAATGGATAGTTCCTGCAACCATCTAATATTGCAAAGTGACCTTTTGGTTCCAGGTATTTGCTATAAGCTCTAAAGGCACTTCATTTTAGCTCTGCTTTTCCCCTCCACTGTCCATTCACCTCAAAGAATTATTTGAGGAAATTGTTATTCAACTATTCTTAGCAGCATTTGTTTGGCACTGCTCAAACTTAAGTTTCATATGATCTGTAGCCACACTCCTACAGATATTAAAAATGTTGCCATAAAAATAAGTAATTGAGGGATGATTCAAATTAGTCCACCAACAATTACAAGTTGCTTTTCAACAACCTCAAGGAAACCTAAAAACCTAAAAACAGTTGCCTGCATTTGCTATAATGGAATAGAAATAACATTTGAACTGAACATCATTTTTGATTAATTAACAGAAAGTAACCTTAGAGACCTATAACTTTAAAAATATCATCAATGTCATCTTTCTGTTCAGTAGCTTCTTTCTGTATATGGGTGGGATGACTCTCCAACACAGCAGGGCCAGAAATGTCATCATGGATACATTCCTCAAAACTCTTTGTATCACTGGAGTCCAAAGTCCGAAATAGAAAGCACTGATTGAGGAAAGGAGATACAGTTCCCTTGAAGAGAGGACCCCCTCGATGTACAGAGGTAGCCTGTGAAACACAGCTCTGCTTCCGTGACAGTCTACTATTTCGCTGGGAACTTCTAAGTTGAATGGCTCTCTCTCTGTACCTTTGGAGCGTAAGGAATTTACAAATAGTAGCTCTAACACATCTAAGTTTCCGCTGCAATCTAAGAGAAAAAAGATATGCAATTAAAGCGGCAAAGAGCAATTGTTTGATGTAACAGTCTGTAAAACCAACAGTCATTTATTTTGCATAATCCAGTTTTTTCCACGTCAAAATTCTAGTGAGCTTGGAAGAGCTGAATTGACTAATCAAAATCTGAAACAGGTTACAGAAGAAATCTNATAATACTCTAGAAGAACACCTGTATAAACAATTCATGCTCTTCCCACTGTTCCTTTCAATAAACAAAATCAAGGATTTTAACATATAACATATAAGTCAAATGATCAAAGGAATTAGTGTTTCCAAGCCTCTAGCAAGCAATGTTACTTCATTTTATTCTGCTTTTACCCTTCTCTTTGTTACGAGGTGTAAGAAAAAAAAAATGCTTAAAATGTATAATCCGCCCAAACGTTACAAAAAGGAAGAGATTCTTGCTCCACAGATACAAAAAGTGAGGAAAAATAGAGGGAAGAAGAAAAAAAAGAAACCAGACCAATTTAAAAAGTAAGAGGCATTTGTAAGAATTCCATCCAAAAAAAAAGGAGTTAAAAAAAAAAAGATAACTCTAATTTTAATACAGGCTTAATCCGCCACTTGCTCTCTTCTGCCTTCACTTTTAATTTTACTTTAAGTTTTTTGGGTATTCTCTTCTCTCATAGTAAATAGTAAAGTTTACCTCACCAATTCTGACACACACTGTCCTGCACAGCTTCCGTTCAGGGGTCTGTCCCAACCTTATGCAGCTTAAAATGGCTACTTCTCTTGCAGCTGGCAAAAAGAGCTTTCTCCTGGATCAATCAGGAACTTTGCGATGTCCCTGAGATCAGCAGGATATGCCCTTCTCTATCACCGTCTCTTCAGGACGGTTTAGGTCCAAAAAGAACCATCCAGCAACAGAGATTCGACAGCAATCCTGGAGCCCCAAGATTGCATGTCGTGTTGTAGCAACATCAGGCCCCGCCTTTGAAGTCCACACTTCTTAAAAGTTGTTAAGGTTAAAAAACATTGGTCTAGGATAATTTTAAAAAAAACTTGTGAAGAAACAGAAGCAGCTATTTTTTTAGGAATTATATTCCAGTTTAGTCAGAGATGTGCATACAAACAATAAAATTTGTAATTAAAATGCTGCTCTCACCAACAGGGGTTTTAAAATTGTACTAAAATGTCTGCAGTATTTTAACCATCACATTCATAGAAATTAATGTGGAAGTATAATGGCATAATGAATACAACATTTCCGTCCATCTTAAATAAATTGCCTAATCCTGACATAAACCCTTTTGCTCCAACATAATGTATTCTAAATACTAAGCTTTAAAAAAAGATGGTGTTACCTGCAAGAAATACATTTTTAAGCACTTAACTAAATTTATATTATGTGCCTATATTATGTGCTTCCTTTATCACTGACTTGAGGACTTCATTCCTTAAGAGGTATACAGTGAATATAAAAACTCCTCACACCCCTGATCAGTTTTGCTTTTCAATTCAATTGTATGTGTTATATACTATATTAAAAATGAAAAAAAATAATCTGAAGTGTTTTATCTTGGTCTGATTTCTTTTACATCTCAAAAATCTCATTTTCAGAGGGGTGTATAACTTTCTATGTCCACTGTAAATACACAGAAGTTAGTTAGTTCCATTTGAGTTCACAATTATAACTTACTTTTTCTAATGCGTGGGTGTCAAACTCAATCATGTCACATGACGTATCACAACCTTTTTTGCCTTTGTGGAGCCGTGATGGGTGTGGCCTGCGCATGATGAATCTGGCCCACAGGACGCCAGTTTGATATCCCTGTTCTAGTGCTTTCAGCAGGATTCAAATATGGCTACTATAATTTAGTCTACATCCAACCATATTAGTTAATTGTTTGACCCACAGAGATTGCTCAGTTAGGCCATGTGCTTTGTAGGTAGGAATAAAACCTGTTGGTGAAATTCAGATTCAAAAAATATATCTCAAAGTAAAAAATGTTGGAAAAGGAGAGGACAGGGTCTTATTCTTTTAAAGAACAGCCTGTGAGGATCCCTAACCTACCATAATTCATTGCTGAACTTAAAAATAATTTAAAGTTTCACAAACGTGTTCTAAGCTACTTTTGGTGGGTATGTTTTTGTCTTTTGACAGCTTGTATTAACCAAAATTGACAAAGCACCAAAATCCGTGATGGCAAAACATGTCCTACAGATTCAAGACTATGTAGAGAAAAATGCTCATACATGTTTTCCTCAACTTTTTCCTATCAGGTAACAGGTAACAAAGTCATATGTTGTTTTCTTGCAATAATATGAAGTAGTTTGCCATTGCCTTGTATTGAAGTGTGAGTTTCAGTTGCTACTTACTATCAATCTAATCTACAACCTACAATCTTGGTTTCCCATCCCAATATTTACCAAAGCTGACTGCTCAGGATCATGAGATCAGCCAAGGTTGACTAGGTGCTTCCATTTAGCTGAACCTAAACTCTAAGGAAGAGTTGTTACTCAAGCAAAGGAGCAAGAGCAAGAATAGAGAACAAATGCAAATTTATTTTTATGAGACTGCTAATATAATAATTCTGTCTTTGTTTCCACAGTTCTTTGAATTATGTTGGAATCCATGTATTGAGATGCTTCATAGCTCATGTTACTGGAAATCTTCCATTATCCACTGAATAAAGGATTATATTTGGAAGTATCTTGTTTCAAACTTCATGCTAGATGCTGTATAAATATAGATTATTTTAGAACAATAAACGCTATGTAAATTCAATATTGTTATATATGTACATACTGTAAATAAACACATTAAAAGATGAAATATATGACAATCAGATTCTGAATGGATAACACAAAATCTCAAAACCATTTTTCTTTCAACTCAAGAGTGCAAATCTGAGAATAAAGAATTTAAGCTAAAGAAGACAAATTCCAGCAGAAGATTTAAAAATACATTCAATAATAATTCACTGGAATCAATTACAAGTGAGGCAATAAGCCTCATTTATTAGATACTGTATGTTAAAGCAAAGATTGAATTGCCATTATTGGGGTACTTTTAATTTGTAGTAGGGTGAGTAGGAGGCTGCTGGTAATGGTCTTTGCAGTCCTTTTCAGTTCTGTAATTCTATAATTGTGATATTCTACAAATTATGTAGATATGTGAGGATAGCTTTTGCAAAAACAACTATCTATTTAGGAATTCCTTATCTATGAAGCCTGGGCATTAGGCAGAAAAACAGAAGAAATTAATTTCCTTGGTTTTTTTGTACAGCAAGAGAAAATAGAAATATTTGCACTAAATTATTTAAAATAAATATATATATATATATTTATGTGAAAATAGAAGACCCAGCACAATTCTACTGCAGGCAATGTGGACTTTCTAAAACAGTCAAAAGCATTCCTCTTTAAAATGGTCAGCTTCGTTAATAAGACTACTCAAATCTGACAATCTTTAATGCACAACTTCTCTAATGAGCACAGGCATGTGATAGGGCTAAAGTATCCAAATGGCTAATGCTTCTCAGGCTTGCAGTTTATTCTGCTTAAAACTATACTTTCAACTCTCTTAACTTTCAACAACAGATGGTTAGCAGTTATTTCCTGATTGCTGTCATTTTAATTTCCAATCCTCTTTTTCCTATCTAGCACAGCCTACTCTTTGTTTCTTGAAATTAAAATCAAATGCAATAGCTAAATGATTTAATAATGGCAGGATTTTTCAGAAAGAAGTCCAGTTTGTGGATTCAAAAAGCAATACAGAAGCAAATCATATTTATATTTAAAGGTAATTGCATTACCCTGCATACATTCACACATGTACTCATCACAATGAATATTAATTCCAGGGTATAATTCCAGCATCTGAATGCATGCTCAGATATATTAATTTGATATCTCGAAATAGTTGGAATATCAGGGAGACTGGTATTCCCCAAACATGTCAATATAAATTCATAAAGGGTTTTTATTCTGTTAAGGGTAAATAACAAGCTTTGATACAAGCCTATGGTTTTTATTTTTTAAGCTACTCCAAAAGACTGACAATGGCAAACAAAGTAGTGTGGCTGTATTTACATAACATATTAAGCCGAATTTCTTGTGATTTATGTAGGATTATTACATGAACTCAGTTTTGATGTGTATAGTATTCCATTATTAAGCCAAACATAGCATTGTATTTATGAAACCAGCTCACTGGATAGTGGTATCTTAGGTAGAGAAATCAAAACAGCAAACCTTAATTAATTTATCGCTCATTGTTACTTTTCTCTTTGTACCTAAACACTAGGGCTATAAATCAGGGTTGGAAAGATTCAGATGATCACAAGAAGACAGCCCCGAGTATGCCTTTTCTGTATCTCTTCGCCACTCTAAGGCGCCCAGGCAGGTGCTTCCAAACAGATGTGAAAACCCCTGGAGAATACCTTCCGTCGCCGGCCATTGTCAGGATTACGCATGCGTGACTCTTGTCCAATGAAGCCGGAGGAAAAGGAGCCGAAGGCCTGTTACAGTCATTTGCTCAAAGGCGCATGCGTAGTTGAACGTTCGCCTTCCATATTGAAGCGGCGGGGGAGAGTTGCCAGTCAGAAACGGTCTTAAGATTTTTATACCTGGAAGGAGGTAATTCCTGATGCTAACATGGCCGACGAGGAAGAAGACCCGCCTGTAAGTGAAGCCGAAGCATAAGGTGTTGGGTAACATAAAAGATGTGAACCGTGATTAAGAACCAACTAGGATGCTGGCCGGGTAGCAGCTGCTGGCTTGGGAAAAGGAAAGTGGCGCCCTCCCCCCCCCCCCCCCCCCCTAAATCCCCCGGGGATGCTGGAGTCAATCACACCCACCGGTTGGAGACGCCTGAAATTTTAATTCAGTGGGCATTATTCGCATTAAAAGCTGCATCCTGTTCATGGATCTCGGGATGTAGGATTACAGTCTAAATTCATTTTATGCAAACAAAACCGGCAATAAGATTCCCTGGCATTAGGAGATTTACAGGTAGATAAACTTGAATTTGGTTTTACATTTTCTGATGTAATCCTGTAAATACAAGGTAATTCCCAGTAATCTCATAAATCATAGAATCATAGGGCTGGAAGGGAACTCTGAGGTCTTCTAGTCCAACCCTCTAGTCAAGGCAGGAGCCCCGTGGTTGTTCAGGAAGTTTATTGTGGAATCAATGTATACTAGATGTGGGCCAGCAATGTACTCCCTACAGATCCAATTCTGCTTTCTATTATTATTTTTGGGCTTTGCATTAACATCTGCTTAGCATTTCCTTCATCACTGACCATGGGCTATGCTGGTTATAATTGTTGGAAGTTATAATCCAGAACATTTGAGAAGAATCACATTTCATAGTGGTATGATGCTTTACAAATTAATTTCAAATATAAAGTCTCCCCCATTCAAGATGCATCCACAATAAGATTTGCTCCATAAGACCACCTCTGATTTAGTACAGATGTATGTGTTTCATTCCAAATTGCTGCACAGTTCTCTGCTAAGAATTATGAGTATATAGAGTTGTCCCTATCCATTTTCTCATAGTATTCTATTTTTGCTCAAAGTTCTTTTTCTTACTTACCACATTTTCTCTGAAATGAGTTACTCCAGTCTAGTTATCATTTAGATTTCCCTTCTAGGTTTTTAATATCATTTTAATATATTGTGGACAGAACTGTATAGTATTCATATACTTTTATAAAGGTGTTATTGCATTGTTGATAATAAGTTTGTTAAATTCTTCAAATTATATGTAGCACGGAATATGCCTTTTTCAGTTGCCATACTTAATGTTTTTATGAACTTTGCCTGTAGCATCCTAAAGTTCTAACTGAGATCTTATCAATGTGGGGGGTTTTATGTCTGTAAGCCTAATTTCATCTTTGCTTACAGTAAACTTTTTGTCGTATTAAATCCTCCAAGAGATCTTTTTAGAACTTTTTGCTGTCTCTCTGCTTTTAACCATCCTAATAATTCTAGAGTCCTTGTTTCTTAGCTTAATCGTGGGGTATGCCTCTTTTTTCACCCAAATTTTGGATTTATTATCTATAGTTTGAAGAAGATACTGAAGACACTGGAGGAGGGTCAGATGGTGGACAGGGAAAAAGGAAACGGTTGTTCTCCAAAGAATGTAAGTTGATGTCAGGTTTACAAGTAAGAGTAAAGTAGATTATTTGCATGCTGAAAATACTAAAGAACTGCTGTCTATTAGTATAAGAAATAGAGATATATTAGTTTTAATGATCTAATTTTTTATAAGGCAGTTTTCTGTGTTTTCATAGGTAGTAAGGAAACTTAACCCTTTTATAGTCTCCACTTTTGAAGAATCTCTTTTTGCAGTACACTTTTGGGATGCCAGTATTACTGTGAATTATTGAATGATTTTTTTGTCTAGCATCTGTATCCTATCAATCTGCATTACTATGTAAAAAAATTGGTTAAGAGATGGTTAAATTTGAAATTTAATAAAATTTGTATGCCACCCACTCCCTTGGGACTCTGGGCGGCTTACAGACAAGATAAAAGCATTT